CGCCCCAGCAGCATCACTGCTCCAGGGGAGGATTGGGCTTCCCTGCTCCACTAACCTCCGGATCGTCCCTTGTTGCCTGTGGGTCACCTTGGTGTCACCTTGTCCTTGTGTCTGGGGCCTGGGGAGGCAGTGGGTGGAGGCCGCACTGCAGCCGGAGGCTTGGCAGCTTCTCAGAGGGGATTAAGGGGAAATTTGTCTCTGGAAGTCTGGCCCTCTGGCTGGGGTGGTTTCTGGGTGCAGGAGGAGGAAATGAGTATGGCCCTTTTCAGTCTCTTCTCCCATCAGGCCAGTTTGTCCCAAGCTGGGAGACTGCTCCGAGCAGGGAGGTGCTGAGGGCTGAACACATCCTGCACCCGCAGCGCGGAGCAGAGCCGAAGCCACCGCCTGGCACGGAGTCCTTGGCATGGCACAGAGCTGGACAGAAAGGCTTTATGTGCCCCACCGCCACCACGTGCCTGCTGCCAGCACCCTTGGGGTGCGGGTCCCCGTTCTGGTGCCTTGCAGCACCCACTGACGGGCATGCCCGGGGCAGTGCCAGGGCACAGCGGCACCCCGCGCCGGGGAGGGTTGTGTTTGCGTGCCGTGGGGAACAGGGTGAGGAGCCTTCTTCACTTCTCCTGGGGGAAGGATGCTCCCACCTGAAAGGGCTCTGCTCACGGGGCACAGCCGAGCCGTGGGGGTGGGATGCCAGGCTGAGGCACTTGCACCGCCTGGGTCTGCGGGCTGGGCTATGGCTGTTGCTGTGTGCAGCCTGGAGGGTAGATTTGGGCTGTGGCAGCTGCTGGGATCACAGGTTGCCTTTGCTCCTTACCAAGAGTGCTCCCGAGGGGTTGGTTTGGGTGACTTTTCCTTCTGCGCTGCTTTTAGCTGTCTAGCCAAGGGCCTCTCTCAGCAGTGCTCTTCAGGGCTGTGTATCCCAAACTCCAGATGGAAGATGCACCTTGAAGCAGCGAGATGCTGTTGGTTGCATTCACCAGTGTCTCCAGGCACCGTGGAGCAGGACAGTGCCTCTTTTCCCCTGGGGTCACTGGCCTGCACTGACGTGTTTTGTTCCTCTCTGTACCTGGCCAGCTCGCTGAGCGCTGGCAGCAGGCAGCACACCGGGCTTTTAAGGTGTACGTGCGCCGGGACCGTTCGTGTGTGTTTAGGAGGCTCCATGACGTTGCATGTTGCATCCATAGAGATCTTTGTGAGTGAGGGAAGCAGCCACCCTTGTCCTCAAACGAGACTCGGTGCCGTGCTGGCGATGGGCGTGTGGAGAGAGGCACACCTGAGCTTTTCGCTGCGGTGGCAGCAGATGAGGAGCCTGCAGCTTGAGGCAGCCCTCCGCACTTCGGAGCTCTGTGCTTCGGAGCTGAGCTCGGCTGGTTACGCTGACCGGGCTCTGACACCGCTCTCTAATCGCTCTATCAGCCTTCCCTAACTGCAAGTTAGATCAGACCAGGAAAGCGGTTGTGAGCGGTTGGGCTCATGGTTCATCTCCCATGGGCAGGAACAAACATCAGAGAGAGGCAGTTTGGCCCTGGCAGGAGCAGGCGTTGGCGAGGTTCCTGCTGCCTCGCCTGCACGGGGCACGTGCCCCCACCTGTGCTGCCTGCTTCTCCAGGGACCGGCGAGGGGCTCGGAGGGGTGATGGGGCTGGCAGCGGCTGGGCCTGGGGGAAGAAGCGGTGGTCGGTGGGGGTTTCATGGGATGCGGAGGTGAACGACAGGCTCTTCTCTTCCCCAGGTGTACAAGGGCTTGGACATCATCACGAACAAGGTTTCTCCCCAGGAGCAGCGCCTGTGCAGACACCACATGATCAGCTTTGTGGATCCCCTCGTCTCTGACTACACGGTGGTGGATTTCAGAGACAAAGCCGTGGCTCTGATATCCTTTCACGCTGCAGCCTGCCTGGCTGAGCACAGACTTCTCCCCTCAACAGCCAGGCCTGCAAGAGAGATCAGTGTTTGCATCAGCGTTGGGCTCTCCACGCTGCAGCTAACTCTGGTTTCCAGAGGATGCGGCTGGGCCTTCTTTTTCCCGGCTAATGCTGAGGGCAGCCCATCCTCAGGGCTGGCAGGGGAAGATCTCTGCTGCACTGCAACAGTGCTGAGCTGGGTATTGTCCTCCCTGGCAGTTCCTGGGTGTCCCTGAGTTTTGGCACAGGTAGCAGAGGACACCTGTAACCCTGTCGTGCAGTCTCACTGCCTCTGTGGGGCTGGGAGAGTGGGGTCTGGGCCCCAAGCTGCCGCTCCCCACAGCCCTCCCTCCCTGTCCTGCATCTCTGCTTACGCTCCCTGACTGTGGCACATTGAAGATATCTTTGCCCGAGACAAGATCCCAATTATTGTGGGAGGAACCAACTATTACATCGAGTCCTTGCTCTGGAAGGTCCTTATCAACACCAAGGTATCGCTGGGGGACTGCTTATCCCTCTGGGAATGGGTGAGCCCCATGGTCAGGGCAGGCTTCCTGCTAGAGCAGGGCAAGGAGAACCAAAAGCCCCTCATTCACCCTGTGGGGCTGGGGGATCATTTTGCTTGTGCTGGCCTTGCACATGGATTGGACTCAGGGCTGCCTCGTGCCCCACAGGAGAAGGCCAGCACGGCTCCTGGGCCAGTCGCCGACAGGAAAGTGGAGCTGGAGCAGCTGGATGGTGTCGAGCTCCATCGCCGCCTGAGCCAGGTGGACCCAGAGATGGCAGCCAAACTACACCCCCACGACAAGCGCAAAATGGCCAGGTGAGCTTGGTGTGCCGAGGGCAGGGGGTGCCAGGGCCCCGGCACCCCTTCCTGAGGGAATCATGTGCCTGGGAACACGGTAAGATGGGTTCTCACACCCCAGCCGAGTGCTCAGCCTCTGAGCAAGGTGCGTGGGGACCTGGGTGCTGGGGAGCTCTCTGGGGTCTGAGACCTTTGGCCATGCAGCCCCCAGCTTGAACCGCCTTTGGGGTCCAGGAGTGGCTTGGTGCACCAGGGCTGCTCCCGCTGCGGTGCCCCAGCAGCAGGGTTTATCTGGAGCTATTTAAAGAGCAAGCTGCTGTGCTGGCTGAGTAACATACCTGAGCAGTGTGGGAACAGCGCGGCAGCAAGACCAGGCTTGCTGCTTTGGTGGGCCC